TACTATTGCAAACCCCCCCCCCCCCCCCCCCTCTCAGCTCCCATAATATTCAATAATCCCGATCTAGCACCGGCGAATAATTCATGAGAACAATCATTGCTAGGGTGCGCAGGGCTTCATCATTGAGAGCGATGTTTGGTCCAAGCTGGCAACTTTGCCTTCCCATTTCACTTTCCATGTTCTCTTCCAGTTGATTCTCCAGCATTGGGGATAACATCCCTAAACCCTATTTCAACCCGATGCATCGCCCCTATAGACCACATTCAAAAAGCTTACTTGAGCAACCTAGGAGGGGACAGGAATTCTTGCAAGGGCTTCCGTATATGGGAGCTCTATGAGGGTCCCCCAACACCGCTATCAGTAGTAGTGAAGTACTATGCAGATGGAATATGGAGGAGCCCTGGTATAATGGCCACTATCCCTTGTGGACACTGTGGATGGGTTGGGGGATCACGAAAAATCATATCTGGGGTACTGCCCCCACCCTGTACCCGTCTACATTAAGAGTTATATTAAGGGCTATATATCCACATACATGCACATATACATATGAAATCATATGTATATATATATATACATGTATATGCTCCCACTTCACTGAAGGTCCTCATGAAAGATATGTGTGGGGAGTTTGCAGTAGCGTCCTTACGGGAATTTTAGGCTAAGATGGAGCTTATGATGGATCTTTGCACGGAGTACCTGAGACAGAGAGGATAAACACATAAAACATGTAGATGTGGGTAAGCAAATTAGAAACTGAGTTTCATCCCAATGAAATATTTGATGCAGGAAGGGTCGATCAAAATGTGGGTTTTGGAGGGGGGGGGACGTACCATATAGATATAAGATAAGAAAGATATTCTTCCACTGCTAAGGCGTGGGGGCAGTACTCAGATCATGTCATACCACTCACCGACAAGGTTCCAGCAAGTGAGGACTCTTCGTCAAATCATCCCCAACCTTTGTCTTACAAGTTCGAATAATTCCCGGAGAACCCTTTGAATCATCCAGATCCGATCCCCCTTTTGAACCGCGTGCAGAACAGTCCACGCCTGTTTGTCTCTGTAGTTGCGGGCAAGTTCCTGAAAAGCCAGGCCTAAGTGGGCGCAAGATCCTGTGGTACGTCCTGTAGCCAGCGGGACGAAAACAGAAAGGACTCATACATTCCCAGAGTTCAGTCTCTGCTTTGGGGCTGATAGGACGACACGAGTCTCGAGAGACTGCACATGCAGTGTAGTTTGGAATGTAGCTCACTTGTAGCAATGGACAGCGGCCTTCTGGACATGCACTGCCCATCGACTGCTCAGGCGCATCGGACACACGAATACGTTATGTGGCACTTTATTACTCTACCAACTTTGCCATGGTTTTGGAATGGGTTTTGGTGCACTTCGAGATTAGTGGGCGGCGGATTTTGACTATGCTGCGCTTCTCCAGAATTTCCCAGTTTTAAGTTTTCCTGTACCTTTTTATGCATTTCAGAAGTTTTACTGTTTCTGGAGGTTGTTCGACGACTGGTGCAGTTAGTCCGGGGTACACCTCAGCAGTCCAAGGATTTGGGGAGTCTTGTCCGGTAGCGACAAATCCCACAGCTGCCGCCGCGACTGCCCATGCCGCCGCCACACAAATCTACCCACACTGCAACTCCCCGCAAACCGCCTTAAATCTTCCGAGGGCTATTATTGTCTATCAGAAATCGGCATTCTTTTCTGCAGCTTGAACCAATGTGTCGTACGAACAGGTGCAGTGCCTCAACAAGTCGTGCTGGGCTCCAAGCACATCCGGCTTGCCCCGCATCTGCATGGTTCACCTTGCAATGGAAAAACACCTCTTTGCCGCTTGCGCGGGGAATTCGTAGCTTTCAAGCGTCATGCACGGAACGTGTTTACACTCCATAGATCGTGTTCCAAGCCATCGTGAGTCATGAGTGGGAGACGAAACCCAAAAGAACCTGAGCTTGATTCCAGCTTTCTACTCTCGCACTTGAGAGTTTCCATCATTTTGGGACCCCAATACGGATAAAAGTATACTATGCTCATTCGTAATTATGGAGCCCTTAAAGAAAGGAACCCATTTCAACAATCTAAGCCCTACAAACCTCTACATAATCCCGGTGTCCATTTAATTGTCCATATTGTTTTCCATTTGATTCTCCATAATTGGGGTAGTAGTCCTACGCCCTAAGCCCCCAGTCCCCAATCCTGAGCCTACACAACCTTTATTGGGTAAGCCTCCCGACACAGGTATCACACCTACTTGGGCCAGCTGTTTGCCTGGAGCCCCTCAGGGGGTGAGGGCCTAGGTTTTCGATATCTATAGGGCTGTACAAGCATTATCAGGGTATGAGGATACGTTATTCTCACCAAACAATGGAGAATCAAATGGACAAGAAAATGGGGCATGCAATGGAAACTGGCATCCTATAGGGCTTCGTAGCCAACTACCCAAACCCTGCAGACTCTACTAAATCTTGAGCCCTGGCCCTGATGGCCAGGAGCCCTGCTGCTTCCTATTCAACGAAATTTCTACAATCAAAGAGAATCCCCCAAAGTCGTAATCCGGAAGCTTAAAGTCCCGGAAGACAACTCTTGACCGGGAAAAGACTACTGTTGAACGGTCCCAGTAGGCTGCTAAGAATGATTCTTGGGGAGGGAGGTTTTGAGGTGATCCAAAGGGTCGAGATACGGAGGCATAGGGTATTTTTGATTTCCTTGAGATGTCTGACTTGTAATCTGTGTCAAAAGAGGTTAAAGGAAATCTAAGGAGGGCCAGGGTTCTGTTGGTTTGGAGTTTAGGGTTTAGCGTCAGAAAGTGAAAGGCACCGTAACATTAACTAAATGCAGTAAACATCGTTAGAAGAAAGTTACTCCCTCATGATACTGATGCTATGAAGTGTTCCATTGATTTTGTTGTCAGAGGAGGGGGGAAAGGCGTAACGCTGCGATGAAGGAATCTCCATAACAGACAGTCAACGAAATCTAACCAGAATCAAGGCATCATTTCCTGATAACGAAAGCGAAGGCCTCGGCTGGGTTTGTGTCAGTGAAGTTCTTATTCATCTGCACGAAGCCAAACAAACCCCATGGGGCCACAGCTGCACCTGCCAAAGCCTTGACAGAGACCGTCCCCAGGTAACCCAGACCCCTTATTAATAAACCCCCTCCCCTGTATAGGGATTATAATAGGGATCCTAATATAATAGGCCCTCATGGGTCTACATTATCTTCCAAGCATCTTCATCCAACAAGGCATCTCAGGTTCTAAGGCTTCGGCATTTACATTTCTTGTCAAACGGCGAGGAACCGTATTGTTTCCTGGCCCGCCGAGGGTCCAGGTCATGTTGCTGCTGAGGTTGTTCCTGCATGATCCTATATACCTAAACTGTTTCAGGATATTGCACCCTGACCGTATCACTGGGAATCATGCAAGGACTACAGTATGCTGTAGGTTCCTAGAAGAAACAACGTGCTGTTGTTAAGATGCTCGGTGGTCCACGTGACTGTTAGACGACTGGCCCAAAGGTATACAGTATATTGCTACAGAGCCACTGTCATTTGCATATCTTGCCTCACTTGTGCTCTGCTTAGACTCCTCGGATCATTCAACAAAAAAGCCCTACCCCTAGATATTCCTCCAATTTGGGCATCCCAGGGTGCATAAGTATTTTAGTGGTGGTCGTGTCTAACCTTATTTCTGGATATACCCATGTCAGCCCTTTTTCCTTGAAGGCCTTATGTTGCACTGTTCGCTGAAGAGCGGGTAGTGCTTGCGCCATTTGAAGTCGGCCAAGGCCTCCTCAGACAAGACTTTGCTTGTGCTTGCTCCCTGATAAGACAGCACCAATCCCCTCCACCTGATATTAAACCCCCCCCCCACCCCCGCTAATATGAAATGATGCCAATATGTTTTAATATACCACATATTGCTAATATTTAATACTAGGGGAGAGGGGATTAGGGTCAGCGGCTTGACTTCGGAAGCCTATTGAAATAAGATGTTTGGCTGGGTCCGGAGAAGACGAGTACTAGATGACTCGGAACCCCAACGGCAAATTAGTTGAAACAGCTCAGGGATTCGTTCAACCCATTTCCTCAGACTCGCTGTGGAATGTCACAAGTATATGTTCTTCCCAGAGGGCACAACCACGTTCTTGCAGTGCTCGGTCTAGAGTTTCCCCGCGCGCACTGTGCCTGGAGTGTCCCAGCGCGCTGTCTCTCGCGTACCCAAGCCCGAAGCGTCCCTGCAATGCTCAGCCCCAGAGTGTCTGTACCCGCAGTGCATGTGTCCAAGTTTATCCACAAAGTGAAAGTATTCCAGAGGTACACCCCAAACCCCGGACTCCAAACCAATCAGCCTCGCCTGCGCTGCCTTCATCCCATCTGTTTTGAGAGAGTATCTAACCTCGGAGCAATATCGGAATTTCTCGAAGTTGGGGTTTTTAGGAGCCGAGGATGATTTTGGAATGCAAGAGAACACGATCTTCGGGATTTATGGGCTTCGTCGGAAGCATGCACATGCGGGCGTCTCAAAATCACCCTTCCACACCTTGGGCGAAAGATGTTTCTACAATAGATGTTGGCTAAGCATTGGGCTGTGTGGGTGCTACAAGGGATCTTGAAATAAATCCCCGCAAAATCCATTGCAGGACCCCTGATAATATCCACATGGGAGTTTCCAAAAATGAGGCGCTGGGTTTACAGTATCTGGTGTTCTATGTTCAAAATACCCTCTTTCTGACACCCTCCACATATCCCTGAAGTCCCTGAGGGTACCCCTAGTTTGAGAACCCGCCCCGCACATTGAGCTCTTGTCAATATTCCCCCTATAATCAATGGATATGGGCTCCTTGTTAGGGAATATATCAGGGATTCTACTAAACTACAAGATGGGCCTTAATATCCATCCTTAAGAGTCCCTTGGTAAGTCTATGTAATAATTTTGACTGTAGGCCACATGAAGACTGGATAAATATGAAGCCCTGGAGCTGACTCCCCACCATGAAAAATAAACCAGATGACTGCTACAATACTTGGAGCTCTAGGGTAACCATAGCCTAAATGTAGCGGTATGAGGGGGGCTGAGGGTGCTTATAGTTGTGAAAATCCAATCATTACTGGGATACAATTCCTGCAACACCTCCAAGTAGGGTTTATGAGGCTTAGAGCTTACTGTAGGCATCTGACGTGGTTGCAGTGTAGGCTCTGACTACTTTGTGGCAGGCTGCTCTTATTGATTTCATTCTGAAGCGCTGAGATGCTTGGGAAAATGAGACGGATTTCCACTGGATGACAATGGTGTGGGTTGAATGCTGCAGAATGGAGTTTCCAGTGAAGCCTGCAGGTACTGGTGACGCAAAAGCATGCAAACAATTTGCCGGAAGGAAATGAAAGGACCTCCGGGGGTGCAATCAGGAAGCCCCCAGGTGCACTGCAATCAGATACTTTTGGAAAATGTTCTATTCTGCTTTTGGCAGATTGCTGGAGTGCCCTGCTTCAGGTTCACTCACCTTCACTCACTTTCGTGACAAATCTCGTCCAAGAGCAGCGCATAGGCCGCCAGCTTGATGTACATCTCAAAGCTGGGCCTAGCTGGGATCCCTTAGCAGCATTAAGCGGCCTACCTTGAGCAGCTTGTAACAACCCGTCCTAGAGAGGATAAACCTCTTGGTCGTACGCAGGCAGGATCCAAGGATGCGTGCAGCACAGGTGATATCATCCCTTGTCTCTAGATGTCACCTTGTGGACTTGTATTTTGACCAACTGCTGTTTCAACCAGCAAGGAAGTTGGGGCATGCGGGGCATGTCTCAAACCAATGGCATGTTCAAGAAACCACAAGGTATGCCCGCTTTGTCAGGATCGCGTATAAGAATCGCTGTTTCTGCACATCTCCCCGAACTCTACGCCACCGGCCATAAACTAGCAGTTGGGTTATTTTCAAGATTATGGACCCCTTTTGGGTGTAAAAACATATTTAGGAGTACCAAAATGGACCCGAATTTTAGGAACCACCCACATGCATGCTGCAAGCCCGCGGGCGCACCCGTATCGTTTGCCCTCCCTGCAAATCTTCTTGATTTCGTCGGCCGGGTACCTGATGTCACTAAGCTAGGCGATGAAGAGCTAGGTTAAGATGGTTAGAAAGCTTCAACATACATGAGGCTCTGATTATTCTGATCAGATTTAGGCAGATGATAGATTTCATTACTGTATTCGTACCATCGTGAGATTCATAGGGATCTGACAAGGCTTCTGGCCATAATGCGGGCAACTCGTCTCCGAAGCAGATGCCTGGTTGGTAGGCCTACGTGGGAGCGAATAAATTCAATGCATAGTAATCTCAATAATCCCTACTCATTATCCCTATATACTGCCTGGTTTCCATCTTCCAGTTTCTGTTCCACTTGATTCTGCATTGATATCACCTGAATGGGTTATACTTGTGCCCCCCTAGCACCCTAAGGTTTCCTAACACCGCTTCCCTTGAACAACCGCTCGGAGGGGTCTTAGGGTTTAGGTCCTTCCAAAGATATTATGTTCAAAGCCTTGCTGAGGCCAGGCTGTGACACGTTGCAATAAATGGACCCGTATCTAGAAGGGCTGGATATATGCTCGACTCCATGAACTGACATGAGAATCGCGCCCACCTGAGGTACAGAGGTACAGAGGACATTCCCTGAACCTGAAACCCAGACCCTGAGTACAGCATCTGATTATGATGTACGGCTTTGCCCTTCATGGCAGTACGTAAGACTCCTCTTTTTTTGGGAAGCAGCCTCGCAAGGAGCTCCAAGATCATGAAAAACGAGGCCCGATCGACTTGTAACAGGCGGGGGTGGGCGGTTCATGTGATACCCGGGGGTCAACAAGGTGCGGTGCAGAAATTCACGCTGTGATACCGCTTAGCTGCGCCTGGATAAACAAAATGAGCCCTGCCGTGGAACTACGACCATCCAAGACAGAAACTATATACAATCGGTCAGGAAGCTGCGAAACCAGTTCCCACTGCTTCTCTGATAAGTCTGCCACAAGGTCCAGTTTATAGGACGTGTATCAATCTTCCTAGGCAACTCGACAATGAACCCCATCATCTGCTGCAAAACGCCCCTGCCAAAACATGGTCAAATGGCAGTTGGTGTCACTTGCAGGCACCCTAAACCCTAAACCCTATAAGCCCTAAACCAAGTCCTACCAATCTCTTTGAGGGAAGCCCATAATACCCTCAAAGGCCACCTCCAAAGACTTCCAAACATGGGCCCCGTTTAGGGCTTAGGCTTAGGGCCAAAGACCTCCAAAATGGGCCCCATAGTCTCTGGAATATCCTCGAACAAAAAACAGATTTCGCAGGGAGACCTTAGACAAACAAATCAGCGTCCAAGCGGCAGTTTTTCCATGATTTTGAGGGCGATGTCACCTGAGGGGCTTTCAAATTAATCCCTTGCCTGCCCCCCACCCCCCCGCTCCCCCACCTCTTAATGAATATTCCCCAAAACATACCTATACTTTTTTTGGGCTACGAGGGGGAGTGTGGTTCAGAGAGTTAAGATGTGAAGTGTAGGCTGTGTGTTTTGAGGCCTTTCGGGGCTATCTTTGGGGCCTCCCTTCCTTCATCTTTCCCTTGTGGATGACATTTCCTCACAGGGCACCTGAAATGGTGAAACAAAAGCACCGGCCCTCGTCCCTGCCCTCAAATCCCCTACTGTACGAGATTATCAAACACGGCCGCTGTGAACTTAATCCTTTCATACTGGTCGTAAGCAGCCCCCCTCCCGTACTAAGCAGGTCCTGCAATAGATAATGTCTTGAAATATGGAGAATATTTCATATGAGGCGCGGGGTGGGAGTTTCACGTTATGTAGTACGAAGGAATTAAAAGGATCCTTGAGCAAGGGCCCTTGATGGTAAGCCAGCGGCGGACAGCTTCCTCCTCTCGTCTGAGTTCGCGATTCGACATGTGGACGGTACCTCTTCTGCAATTCTTACTGATCACGTACCTCATCACTGCTGTGGTAGTTCATGCTCCTTGCTTTTTGAACTCTGTCGGATTCACAGTAGGAAGCCCTACACTCCCCCCTCTACCTCCTCACTACCTCCTCACCCAAAATGAACCCTAAATAAGACCCTGATCTGCATTTAGTCTAGGGGAAGGGAAGTAAGTAGGCATATGGCTCATACGGTTTTCAGGGCTTCATAATAGAAACGTTAGCGATCCTTCTACCCGCTTTCAGGTTCGCCTTTGGCCAAACCACGTGACAGGACAGCTCCCTGCTACACCCGTAACATAAGTTGCAATTCTCTCCTATCGGGTGGTCCTGTCTCTTACTGCTATGAATCGTCACGCTTGTCTAGCACCTGTGCTATGATCACCCCTGTCGAATACTCCCCTACTATTACAACGCGGAGAAGTAGAAGCAGTAGAAGAAAGAGCGGTGGTAGTAGCAGCAGTTGTTCTTGGTGGCAGCAGTACGGTAGATACTGAAAATCCTGCATGAACTCAGTGCCTCATAGCTTGGGATTTATACCTCGGTTTTACAGTACTGTAGTATGCTGAGGTCATGCACGGTCTGTAATTGTAGTAGTAGTAGTAGTAGTAGTAGTAAGTAGTAGTAGTAGTAAGTAGTTAGCAGCTAGCAGCTAGCAGGTAGTAGCTAATAAGTTGTAGTAGTCGCCGTAGTAAGTAGGCAGTAGGTAGTGGTGGTAGTAGTAGTAGTAGTAGTAATAGTAGTAGTAGTAGTAGTAGCATTAGTAGTAATAGTAGTAGTAGTAGTAGTAGTGGTAGTAGTAGTAGCAGTAGTAGTAGTAGTGGTAGTAGTAGTAGTAGTAGCAGTAGTCGCAGTGGTAGCAGTGGTAGCAGTAGCAGCAGTAGCAGCAGTAGTAGCAGTAGCAGCAGCAGCAGCAGCAGTAGTAGTAATCGTGGTAGTAAGTAGTAGTTAGTATGTAGTTGTAAAAAGTAGTAAATAGGTAGTAGTCGGGTAGTGGTAGTACTACTACTACGACGACTACTACTACTGTTGCTGTAATGGTAGTGGTCATGGAAGAAGACGTAGTGCAGCGTAAAACTAGAAGAAATAAATTCAAAGCAGAAGTGGCAGCATCAGAAGTAGCAAAAGAAGCAATGCTAGGACCAGCAGTGGCACCAGCAGTAAGCAATCCTCGTCGAACCAGGGCGCATCAAAACCGTAGGCTAGTAGTAGCGGCCTTCTCATTGATACGATTGATTGTCTTCTAGTTCTTGAACCAAACAAGTCAAGACATGCCGGCGCACCCAGGAGCCTCTTGTCGACAAATTTTCGCGGTTCCGCCGCGAGGGACTCCGCCTCCTCCTACGGATTTTGCAAGATACAAGAGTGCGCAATACACTTGAGACCTTTGCCAGGACCACCATGTCCATTCCAGCAAGAGCAAAGATTTTTAGGTCACCTGGCGCAGGCAACTTACTTGGAACCGCCTTTTGCAAAGCCCGGGTTATGGTCCAGCCTGGCGTTCCGAAACTCCGGAAGCTGCAACTACAACTGACCAGTTACCCACTGGCCAATGGCAGTAGTAATAACCATATATCAGGAGATTCCGTTGGAACCCCATGTTCCTCAATATTAAGCACCCCGCACCCCCAACATCGAATCACTCCTCATTAAAGACCATAAATATATAAATATATGTCAGGGATTATTAGGGGACATACTTAATTAGGGGTGAGGGAGAGGGTTTGATACTAGTATGAAAGGTGAAGCAGCCCGCCTGAAGATCAAGCTGGCTCTGGTCAGCAGCCTCTCGGCTTAGGAGGGGCTATCTTACCTCTGGTGCTGGTTGCTAGTAGGGAACAGCTAAGACAAGTTGAAAGCCAAATCGAATATGGGGATACGGTCGGGACGCATATTTTGAATGTTCAGGATCCAGGTTTTCCTTGTTGGCTGGGCTGTTAGCTGACTAGGAAATAAAGGAATGGACAAGAAAATGGCAAGCACTGTTGGAGAGCATATAGGTCGCACTAAAAGGATCCATACCTGCATTCCTTGCTAATCAGAGTTAGCTTTTGTGAAGGTGATGCGAGGGTAAACAAGTATGGGGTTTGGGAGTTTGTGCAGGTTGCCTAGACTACTGTTCACCAGAAAAGGGGGAAGCTTGTGACTTTCCCATCGGGTGTCTGGAAGGCGCCGGGACTGACTGAGGCCTACTGTACCTTCATACCCTAGGAACTTGGTGAGGGGGCTTGCTTCGCAAAGTTGCATCTGCAGCCATCCTGTAGCAAGCGTGTTCATGTCGTGTTGGTCCTTGTGGGACATGCTCTTGCTTCGGGATCCAATACTGTATCAGGGCAGCCTGGCTTTCAAATATGCTTGTGAAAGTGCTGAAAGGGTTGGGCTGTGAAGCAGGGTTGCGCGCTGCTGGCGGCTGCTGCAGTGGTGAGGGGCGGCATTGGAGTTGTTGCGGCGGCCATGTCGCCGCGAGCTTCATGTATCTTCATCAGCTCGGCGAGGAACCCCATTTCAGACAGAATTTTCTTTTGACAAGTCGGGGCTTAACAATAATTGTCCACATACTGTAACCATTGCACACTCTCAATACAATGAAGGCCTGAATCAACCTGCCTACTGTTCCTGCGTGTTTCGGTCTGCTTTTCAGTTTTCGATGCTACCCACAGCCGCCTCAGGTGAGGTCCGTTCTGGCTGGCTCGCCTGCGGAGTGCTGTACCTCCAGCATCGAAAATGGGTTTTTAACTTGGGGTTGGGTTTGGGGGTGGCAAGGCGCATTGTGGGGGCCACGCTGCTTAGAGTTTAGGTTTTAAAGGCAGGGACCCTGATCTTGAGAATCTTGAGAAACACCGGGATATATACACCCTTATTCTCGAATGCTAAGCATAAGGATTCCCATCTTAGATGTTGGATCCAGGATCGCCAATGTGAACCTCGTGTAGTGGCACGTGTCAAGAGGACGGACTTGTGAATGAAGTGTCTTCCTCGTGTGTTCTGCGCAGCGTGTCAAGATGTACACGAGTTACGCGTCGGGTGTCTGAATTCGGGTTGGTGGACTGCTACAGTATCAGGTTTCTTGTTGTATACTGAAAAATGCAATCTTGCTGCAGGTCCTGATCCCACTGATGCCCCGCCGTCATTGGCCCTTTTATGCATCACAGCGTCAAGGCCATCACCAAGGAGGCAGTTATCAAAACTCTTAATTCGAAGAGTTCCAAACATGACTTATGCGAGGTTCTGTTGGTAGTGCTGAGTATATGGCTACTGATTAAAACCACGTGCCCCGCTTGCACGTTCCTATGCTGTCTGATCCGGAGGGTCTGGAACGATGACTGACTCTTGCTGGTTCCAACAAGTGACTTGGGGTGATTATGTGCTAGGTACTTCGTTTGGTCTGGACCGGGTATGGAACGGGCACCCAGCGCAGCGTCAACTTTGAGATATTGCGTTCATTGGTCTGGAACTCAGGGGTCTGGAATGGAATTCAAGGACTTGTTCCGGATCTGTGGATCGGGGTCTGGATCAGGATGTGTGTTTCCCCTTGTTCTGGACCAATCAAATTGAGTGGTACCCGTATGGGTCCCCCAAGTTATAAAGGGGGCTTCTGCTAGGCTACCTCGGGACAGGCTTTGCAAATTTAAGGCCGCCTGTCAGGTGGAAGCGCTGGTACAGGCAGTGTAGAGGAATCATCTCTCCTGCGCGGGGGTTTGGCCCGTGAGTAAGTAGCATTGAAAATGAGACTAGACATCGTCATATAGACACAAGTATGAACCTCTGTGTATGTAATTATGCACGATCTATTGTCAGGATAAATTGTATGTTCCCCTTCAACACAGGTTCTAAAAGGGCACCCAGCTCCTGCGCTTGTACGCCTGCACCGGCGTTTTCCGCATGAATGCCTGACGTTCAACAAGTCCACCCTTGCTTTAGTAAAAGGATTTTGGTGACCCCAACCCCAGCAATCAGGGCCCGAGCATATGATCGTCATAGGGTCCTCCTTTAGGGGGTTGGGGTGAGCAAAAATCCCTTTTTCTGCTTCGCAGAGCAATCAGTGATTGGAAGCCATGCTAGGATACAGCAGTAGCAACCGTCGCCTGTAGTACCTGATAGGGGCATTACTATTTTACAAGGGGTCTGGACGGAGCATTGCAGCATCGCAGGACAGACACGATCCAAGACTCTGCCCTCTTAAGAATCCTTCTCTACGAAGGCCAGTATCTCATAATGCGGGGAGTTATTCACGAGAGGCGGTAGTTTCCCAAAGCAGGGGACCCAATATAGAACCCAAAATACTACAGTCCTTATTATGGGGACCCGCGAAAACGAAAAGGTACCCCTAATTTGGGGAAACCTCCAGGTGCAAGCCAGCATGTGTCCAACCGAGGATGCCCCGTGCCAACAGGTGCCCAACACTATACACGACTGCCTTTGCCCTTTGGTTCCCGAGATCACCACGCGAGCAGGAAGCCCATAAACCCTTCTTAACATTCTCCTCTTTGAGCATAAAAAGGGCGGGCGATACAAGGATACATTTTGAGCCTAAAGCCTCTTCCTTCGTCCATCCAACTGAAATCCAAATGGTAAACCCCCCAGTATGCACGAGGCCTCTTCTTCTGAGGCTGGGATGACCTCTAGCCAGGTTGCAGCTGTAGAGTCAAGATGGGAAGTTCGGGGGAAGGGGAGGTAGTCTTAATGGCTTACCCGCCTACTGCCGATGAACTTCAGAAGCTACTGTTGTGAATACCGTGCCTTTTGTCTGAGGCACGACGAAAAATTGTTGCTGTGCTCTTCTTGAAACGTCTAGGAACGTTGTGCACAAGAATCCGACGGGACCCTTGCTAAGACCCCTCCCGCCATCACCCTCCAACATCCCCTCGCCTGAGGAACAAAACAACATAGACAGACAGCATGTACACAAAAAGGCCAGAGCCTTGTAGTAATTACACGCCATGTATGGTGCCGCTTTTGACTCAACACGAATACCAACTAAGAAATACGATCAGCACCTGGATGCCACTTGGTAGCGCTCATGGTTCGGTGAACATATGCCCTGCCTGAGCGGCCTGAACGGAGGCATATGTAGGAAGCAAGCCGAATGATCCGAGTCCGATAGCCTGGCATCGAGTCAGCTTTCAGGATACTGTCCACTTGGAGGTTGATGGATACTGGTACATCCAAGTGGTGGTCGTACGTGTGCTTACCTACCTGCATAGTTATCCTTGTTTGCCCACTTACAACTTAGAGCTATGCCTACAAGAGGTCAGAAAAACACAGCTGTAAGCTTGCCAGTCTTTCACAGAATCCAACCAATAGAATCTCAGTCTGCCATCGGAAAAGCCAGTGAAAACAGCTGAAGCCCCTTCGACCTCCACCTGAAGATCTAACTCTCAAAACCTGACCACCCCGTACTGGAAAGTATCTTGCGGAATGCGTCAAGGATCATTTTAGGAATTATAAACGGCCTTCTATCAGGGACAACAACTTGTTCTGCCTCTATAAGCCCTGCAGCACATATGGTCCGACCCCAACGCTGGAATCAGGCCTCCTGGTTTTCATGGCCCATGCTGTATCGAGTTGCATGGATGCATGTGCAATTTCGAGGAGCTGCTGTGGTGGACTTGACTTATGTGAAGTCTGGGTTTTCAGATCCGTACAAAACTTGTGAGCGATAGTGCTCTAGTTCGGCTATCCATGCATTTGAAGGAATCTCAAGACTCTGCATCCAAACTATGATGCTCTGGTCTATAATGGCCAAGAGGTACTCTCGGAACAACTCGCGCTTTCTTACAGAACTCGTAGACTCTTAGCCATCGGAAGAGTCTGCCAATACTGCTTGGCTTCAGACTGGCCATTGTCATCATATGACACATGCTTTAAATGTAAGCATGCTACGATGAGCCAAAGCTTGCGCGCGACAGCCAGCCCACAAAACTCTGTAGGCACATTCCGAAAGCTGGTGTGATCCATAGTAGTTGCTCACAAATACAGTACAGTAGCATGTGAGCTCGTTGTCACCCACCTTGTAGGTACTGTCTCATATAGCAAAGTATGCGATCGACATACGATTCCCAGGCATTGAGTGCGAGCTTGGAGGCTCGTAGGTAGGTAGAGATGTGGGGTTCTAGGTGGCATTCTAGCTTGACTTCCGGTACATTGTAACCTCCGTCATTTGGAACTAGCATGAAACTGCGCGCAGCTCTGGCAGGTGTCTTTGCAGCAAAATGTGCGTGCAAATTATTGAACCTACGAACCAAACTCAGCCGGAGATGACGTCCTGTTCACAATAACCCCTAACCCTAAACGCAACCACGGACAGTTTTTCTTCGCAAGGCGAAGCAGCGCCGCCAAAGTTAGGAAGGCACCTGGCAGAGAGGCTTGGCTCGCTTTGCCAAGTGGGGTTTGTGGTACACCCGGATGAACAAGGGTTCTTTTAGATTGGGGTTATCTTGGGATACTGGAGAAGAAAATGGAAACTGCTATTGAGGGGTTATTTACATTGGGGTTATACCTGAAAAGGCAGGGATATGGGCTCATGTAGGCATGCGTTAGAAGCTTCAGCGCTTCATGCTAAAATCGGATGAGCCTGTATGGTCTAAATTTCACACGCCCCCAAACTCTTGTCTGGCTATCTAGCGGCTTTGTCTCCAATATAAAGAACACCTAAATAGCAGTTTCCATTTTCTTTTGCATTCTCCCACTATAACCCATATCCCTCCCCTTTCAGGTAGTACCCCAATATAAAGAACCCCTAATAGTAGTTTCCATTTTCTTAATCCGGAAATAACAATCCTCAAGAGGAACCCCAGAAGGTTTTTTTTTGGTAAAGCCTCAGAAGGTCATGCGCATCCCTCATCTTCTAGCTTGTCTCTGATAGATAATTCAGCTCTTGTTGTGTCAGAGAACCCCTAGGCCCTTGATCCCAACCCGACATGGAAGCCTGAAAGAGGTCCCACAAAGAGTATTCTGAATTTAACAAATCCATACAAACCCCACATGTTGTTCCACGTTCGTTCGGCAGTCACGTCGTACTGCAGGCTGCAGGCACGGGAGCTGTTAAGGGGTCCAATGGCCACCTTGGTTCGGGAAGAAGCTTGGCCGGCCTTCATCGCCAAAACAATCCAGCTGCATGAATCTTGTCCATGATGATGGACCTTGACAAGGAATTCTAGAACAAATGCGATTGGCTTCTGGAGGCAGAGGTCCACTCACGCAAGCTGAGAAACAGCAAGCTGAGGCAAATGCTGCAGCCCCTGGCTCGACTCCCGGACCTTACAATTGTGCGATGTCGGTTGAAAGCTCATGAACTAAAATTGCGGCCATTCCATATGGACCTCTAAGAAACCCCAAGCTTCCTAAGCCCAAGACGCTGCACCCCAGCATCTAAATCACAAGCCCCTGGAAGCAAGCCCTGCCCGCCTTACCTCTGATTAGCAAGGAACGAAGGAACGGATCCCTAAAGTAGTCCCCATATAATACCCAATACTGCAGTACTTTCCATTTTCCTTTACCTTCCTTCATTCCCTGCTAACTGGAGGAAAGTTATCTAAGCCCTAGAAAATTCCCAGTTTCCAATTCCTTCTCCATTTGATTCTCCAGTACTGGGCTAATATCCCCAAACCCTGAATAGTGGCCTCCATGTGTCCTCATATTCCTGACCTGTATATGACCCTATACCCTAAACCCTTACACTGTTGATGGAGGAAACCTTGCACCACCTTAAGTCCCTAAAGTCCTAGGAATTACAGTAATTTGGGGCCCATAGGTGGTGCAAGATTTCATCCATCAACAGTACTGGGATAATGGAAAAGAAATGGAAACCCTAGGTCCCCTTAAAGGGATATCTAGGGTTATACAGGGGACTATAATGGGGTTATATTGGGATAATGGAGAAGAAAATGGAAACTACTCAAAATACACGAATGATGCGGCTTTTTCCCGCTGCCAAGGCTGGAGGCGCCCCGCAGCTCAGCGGTTGCGCAGCCGACGCAGCGCTCCCTGGGCCGATTAGGACGAGAGTACACGAGTACACATACATATGAGCTATAGTCTAAACTCCTTAAAGGGGGTTATAGGGGTTATATAGGGGATTATATATGGGACTACTATAGGGGATATCAAGGGGGATACTAGGATTGGATACATTAGGTGGACCCCCCACCCAGTAATAGTGACTATAAGGGATAATAGGGATCATATTAGGGTCCTCTTATATAAATAGTATACCACTATTTCAGGGTGGGGGGTCCTCCTAAGGTAGCTTCCCAAAAAAAGACACCCATATACACCTATCTAGAGTACAGACTGATATGAATATTCCCTAATGAAGGGTAATCTGGGGAGGTGTGCCTTCCAGAATCCTGGAGTAATGCAATTGTAACCCCAAACATCACAATGCTCCACCCATTTATGCGCTGAAGGTCTGGTGCGTAAAGAAATTTGACCCATGTGCATGAGCGTAGGGCCGTGTAGGATGCATTAGCGAAAAGCTCTCTTGTACAACTCGAATCGGCTCATGTTCCCATATGGCCTAACGCAGGGATTACGGGAATAGATCGCCAACACTGTTCCTAAACTGAGGCTTCTTAGTGGCACTCCCGACCATCTTCCTAAACGATAAATCTGCTGACCTTGTAGAAACAATGCTGACTAACCTCTCAAGATATCATGAGCTACACGTAAACCACGACACAAAACCCCTGCGCTCCGTGGGATAGCTAAAAAGGGTAAATCAGGGGGTTCGTTGAACCTTCTGCGAACAGGTTCTACGAACAGCCCCGCGCCCCCCACAACTGGGTTGCTTTTAAGGAATCTAATTTAAGTTACCATACAATGTGCCTATATGGTAAATAATAGGGTTTCCTGATCATTGTAACTTAACTTAGGCCCCTCAACTGCAACCCCCCACCAGGTTTTGCGAAAGCTTGTGGAAGGGCCGTGGGATGAATTTCTAATGATGTGTACCTGGACCCCAAAAGTATGTAACATGATGGTCTTTATGGCTGTTATTCTGAGCCATTGTCTTATGTTACATATTTTGGGGATTTAGGTACACATCACGCGCCTCGCCCTGAATGTGCCCCTATAACGCTTACGGGGTACTTGTGGCTTCAAAACATGCAGTGGGGATCCCCATGTTCCGAATTCTAATATTTTGGGGTATGCCTGAACTGCATTAATGATGCACTCACTGTTGTGAAGAGCCCTTCTTTAATGTGTTTTCGCCGCCGCTTATTCAGGACATGGCCGTTGTTTGGAAGCCACTCTTATGTTTTGGTTTTGGAGCCCAACAACGAGGGACCGAATCCAGAGCACCCCTTTTAAAGTAATCCCCAAGGTCTCCCGGGGCCCTCAGTTCAGTACTTGGCTGCGCAGCGAAGGGGCAACGGCTTGCTAAGCACAAGTTTGCTAAGTCAAAATTACCATCTTGAAGCGTCGAGTATGTATCGTATTGCTATCATAAAGCCTAAACCCTATAAATCCCCATAGAGTCCCTATATTATAACCCCCTTTAAACTGGGTTGGCCCCTAAAATCCTTTGAAAAATGGAAGATGCCCTGAAGGATTGTAATCAGCCTCTTATGAAAAGCTCTTAGGCATGACCCGCATTTAAACATTACCTTTTTGCTTCCTTGTCATCTTGGGTTTTTGCCGCTTGCATGGCCATACAGCATCGCAAGGTTAGAATCCGGGTCAAATGGCTAAGTGGCTAAACTACACATCCCGAACAGCAGGCAACGTAGGGGAAAGCCGTCCGCTGCACCGGATGACAACTTGTCGCTCGACACTGATTAAAGCTGCACCCAAATTAACCCCTAGTGACGAGACCCAACCAATCAGCG